TCACAGAGCTACTTTCCAGTTGGGGAAACAACAAACAAAATGAATGGAGACTGTATTAGTCTGTTCTCATGCTGCTAAGAAAGACATACCAGAGACCAGCTACTTTATAAAGAAAAGGAGGCTTAATAGACTCACAGTTCCACATGGCTAGGGAGGCCTCACAATCACGGTGGAAGGCAAAGGAAGAGCAAAAGCACATCTTACATGGCGGCAGGCAAGAGAGTGTGTGCGGGGGAGCTCCCCTTTATAAAACCATCAGATTTCTTGAGGATTATTCACTATCATGAAAATAGCACAGGAAAGACCTGCCACCATGATTCAGTTACCTCCACTGGCTCCCTTCCCCAACATGTGGGAATTATGGGAGCTACAATTCAAGATGAAATTTGGGTGGGGACACAGCCAAACCATATCAGAGACTATATATGTAAATACCAAGGAGAGAGCTGGCTGTTTGGGATAGGGCTTGCTGAGAAAGTGGCTTTTGAGTAAAGACATAGAAGTGAGGGAACTGGCCAGGAGGATGTGCAGGGGAATGCAGGCACTGAGGCACCCAGGTGAGATGTGTCTAGTGAGTCTGACGAGTGGTAGGTGTGACTGGAGAGGAAAAAGCCAGGTGCAGAGGTGGGAGGTGAGTGCTGGGCCTTGCAGGCATTCAACAAGAAGGAGGTAGAAGGCCATTGGTGGGTTCTAAGCAGAGAAGGACATGGCATGGTAATGTTTCCCCTGCCCCAGAGGTTTCCTCATGCCCCACTGGGGGCTCCCCAACCTGCCCTAATCACATCATTTCTTCCCTTCCTCCTTCCCTGACTCAAGCACTGCTTGGGCCCCAAGTGTGGCTGTCTGGCAAAGCAGCCCCTTCACTTTCCCTCTCATCCTATTTCTCCCTGGGACCCAGACAAGCACTCAGGGCTGGGTGAGGGCAGGCAGGGAGTAACAGCCTCTGTGGGTTGTGCTCAGAATCTTCCAAATACTCTCCTCCATGTGCCCTGGCTTTGCAACTCACAGAGTTCATTGTGCCCTGTTCACTCTCTGCCTCAAATGGGCCCTCCTGGGGAGTCCTCAGCCCCTGGAGATGTGCTTCTCTTAAGTCACTTCATCAGTTGATCAGTTATGCCCAGGTAGGTCTGAATCCCTGCAGGTTCCTCAGCTGGAGTCCACTCCTGGGAGGTGCCTCATCCCTAGATGCCAGATATCAGAGGGTCTGGGTATCACCAGATGTGCCAGACACCCAGGACTCCTGTAGAGGACCCAGCCCAGGCACTTCTCTGAGGGCTCTTTGCCTGTCCCCATTATGTTGAAGGTGGTCCCCCATTGCTGGATGACCATGTAGGCCTGCTTTCTCAGTGGAGTCAGGGGTGGCGTCTAGGCTGGTTAAGCATAGACCACTCATCTGTGGACATAGAGAGCCTTCATGTGGGGCTGGATGGCATCAGCATCTTTCAGAGCTGGGGACCTTGGCAAGGTCACCTTCCCATCTGAACTCAAGCAGCTTGATAGGGCTGTGGGTTCTCTGTGCAGTTTCAGCAGTGTTTATGGAGAGCTTACTATATGCCAGGCACTGCACTGAGCCTCATACCTGTCCATCTCATTTATCCTCACAAATGTTCTATGAAGAAGGCACAATTATTATCAACCCCATTTTCCAGAAGAGGAAACTGAGGCTCAGGATGAGGTGGACCAAACTGGGAAATGGTAGGGCTGAAGAATAAACCCTAGGATTCTTACTCCACAGCCAGTGTTCTTAACCCATTCTTAGGAAGTAAAGAAGAATTAAATAGAGTTCAGAGAGGAGAGTCAGCTCTAAGGTACAGGGAAGACAGGGCCGGGGAAAGGGTCGGAGGTGGCACAATTTTTTTCTTTAAAGAATCAGATAATAAGTGTTTTCAGCTTCTTGAGTCATGTCATCTTTGCCATACATACTCAACTCTGCTCTTCGGCTCCAAAGCAGCCACAGAGAATATGTTAACAAATGGGCGTGACTGGGTTCTAATAAAATTTTATTTCCAAAAGTAAGTGGTGGCCCTTGGACCATGGTTTGCCACGCCTGGTGTAGAGGAAAGAGTGAGGAGTCTGGAGGAAGCCAGGCCTTTATTCAATTATTCGATGTCACTGACACATTGGGTGGGCTTGGACTAGACATTTACACTTTTCACTTCTGTTTTCATTGTGTCTAACCACTGTGGGTTACTTATTAACTGATGTATTTTGAAATGATCGATTGAGTCCCTTATAAGAAAATCAGTTACTGTGCAGGAGCTGGCAGTTCGGTGGGGATCAAGTCAGATGTGGTCCTGCTCTGTGGAGCTGCACCAGTGAGGATGAAGAGAGGTAACCTTCGATAAGGAAATAACCTGTCACAGTGCTTGACTCTTGGCAGAAATCCAACAAATATTACATCTTTCCTGCTGTCGGGCCCCCAACACATCTTTCAGGACTCACTGGTTTTGAATTTGTCATCATTTGTGCCCATACTGAGTGAAAAGGTAGGAGCATGTGGTGTCACCAGGACTTTAATATGTTTATAATATATTATTATGCAATGCAGGCCTAATTTTGGATCATAATTTTCCATTAACTGATCTCATTTTACTTGGTAATATCCATTTAGGTATTTGAGAGCAATAAAACTACATTTCTTTTAAATATTATATGATTCAGTTGGTTCACTGATTTAGATTTTTACTACCCCCCATTTCAAACAAATGAGTCATACATCTTTTTAGACATAACAAGGACCTTCAAGATCATGCATGCTTGTGCTCCCCTTCAAGCATGCCTAGTAGGGGAGAAGAATGAGCAAGTTCTGGGATGGAGCTTTGGGCAGGCCACTGCAATCCTGACAACGCTGTGTCTTAGGAGTGTTCGCATAGTTTGCATTTTATGCTTCAATATATCCTAATCTGTTTAATTTTCCGAGTTTGCTTTCACATCTTTAAAGAAAATCAGTCATCAAGATGGTATGCGATGTTTGTCTTTGTACTTCACATACTTTAGCAGCCCGTTGCCATATAGAGGCTGTATAGCATAGTGGGAGGAGCACTGCCTGGGGAGAGCCTTCCCGGAACTGAAATCCAGCTACTGCGCTTCCTTCCATGTGAACCTGGGCAAGTTTCTTATTCTCTCTATGCCTCACTTTCTTTATATATAAAATGGAGATGACAACTGTTCCTACCTTATGGGATAAGATCGTTGATACAAGAAAAATGCGTAAGACAGAGCCTGGCTCATGGAAGGAGTGAGCGCTCCTCAAGTGTTAGCTCTTATTGTTATCCCAGCAGTTACAGGGGTGTCACATTTGGAGGACGTGGCCCAGAGAGATACGTTATGCATGTGCACCCAGTGAGTTCAGCACCTGGGAGCTGGTTTACAGATCTTTCTGCATCTCTTGCACTGAGATCTATGGCATCAACATGCTCTCTCTGCTTTCAGAATCGTGGGCTTGCTAAGTCCCCTTCTACTCTTGATAGCCTCTGCCTGCTTCTGGTGATGGAGCACCCTTCCATGATGAGAGGAGCTTATGTTTCGGAAGGCTCCCCATTTTGTTCCCAGGCAGTCTCCTCTCTCCCAGATGGGCTTTTAGGAGAGCACCATGAGAGGAAGTGGCAGTCTATAGCCCCAAGCTCTCCAGCCTTGAAGACCTTAGAACCCTAGACTCTACCCTGTCTCCAGCTTGTACCTAGGTGTGCCAGGCACCCATCAGCTCCATACAGGTCAATGAGAGGATGTGGGTAGGTGTCCTGAGCCTGCCTCTCCTCCCCCTGACCTGCTTCTGTTTTTTCTGGTCTCGATCTCATTCCAGGTTCCTGGCTCCACCTCTTACTTCCCTCATGTATTTGTGAGCATAGAAGATGCTGTCTAGTGGGCTTGCCGTCTCTGTCCGGTTTCTCTGATTTCTGACCTTGAATGATTCACCTGATGACTGTTCCAATGAACTAATTCCAAAGTCCTGGAATGTCAGCCCATGTCCTGGCAGGATCTATCTTTTAGCTCCCATAAAAGAGAGATTTCAATAACCTTCCCTTGCTGTAATAACCAGAATTGCCATTGGCTGTGCACTTGTTCTGAGACATAAACTGATCTAAGTGCTTTATACACTTTATTTAATGCAATCCTCACAGTCTCTGGAGGGTAGTTGAGTATTATTATCCCCACATTCTAGGTGGGGAAATTTTGGCCTTGGGAGGTTGACTGTACTGTGGTCATGTAGCCAGTACGTGGTGGAGCAGTGGCTGAAATCCACGACTGTGTGACTTCAAAGCCTCTGCTCTTAGAGTTAGTGATGCCCCTCCATTTTTCTGGGAAGTTCCTGGGAAACCATGTGTTGGCCTTGAGCTGCCTCCACCAAGTTCACCAGGGCTCCCATGAGCAGGGAGGGCCTGGGTATGGCTTGGCTGTCACCTGTGTCATTGATTCGCTCTTCCGGAGGACAGTGTCTGGAAGCAGCTGGAGACAGTCTGTCCAGAGTGCCGATAGCCAGGTGAATGTCATGTGGTGCACCAGGCAACTCCCCACAGGACCAGATGGTGAAGACGGAGAAGGGCTGGCAAGAACTGGGTGGAGGAGTAGACCTCCAACTTGGGTGCCTCAGTGTGGAACAGGCTCAGGAGTAGCAGGAAATGGGGGTACAGGCTAGAGACAGAGAAGCAGATGCCCAGCTTGAGGGCTGGGGCCAGCATCTCTGGCACGGAGGCACACTGGAAACAAAGGGGGTTCTGACTCAAAGCCATGGGGCATCAGGGTCACATCCATCAGCTTCTTGGCAGACCCTGTCGGGTGTATTTCTCTGTCTCCTGTGCCTGGTGGTTGTGGGTTAGATAAATGGATGGATTCATGGATGAATGGGTCTTTCGATAGCATGAAAACCCACGTCAACCCCAATCCCTGAAAGAAGGCGCTAAGATTGTTTTACCAAAGGCTGTTGTGAGGAAGGGAAAGGGGTTGTCATGGCACATAGGGGTGCACTCTGACACACTGTCTCCTGTTCCTTCTTTCTCCAGAGGCTCCTGCCAAGCCTGAGGAGGCGGAGGCTGAGCCCTTCACGGACTCCTCTCTGTTTGCACACTGGGGCCAGGAGCTCAGCCCTGAAGGCCGGCGCGTGGCCCTGAAGCAGTTCCAGTACTACGGCTACAACGCCTACCTCAGCGACCGCCTGCCCCTGGACCGGCCCCTGCCTGACCTCAGACCCAGTGGGTGAGCAGAGTCAGTGACCGGGCCCTTGTCAACCTGCCATGGGGGGATGGGGTCCCCAGAGTGCTGGGAACAGAACCAGGTCTGGGCGTCTGGACTCGTGGGTCCCTTTCCTGCATCGGCAAGGGCCTGTCCCCTTGGTTTGCATTGGGCAAGTCACTCTCTGCTTCCCTCAGCCTCAGTTTCTCGATTGGCTGAGTTGAGCCAAGGCTTTCTTCCAGTAGACCTTTGAGGGTTAACAATTTAATTTAGTCGTTAAGGGTACTACAGTCATCTCAGATTCCTGTTAATATATCATTTTAACCCAATTAGTTGCATTTTTGCGAATCATCTTTTTTTTTTGTAAATTAGTTTTTAAAGTACATCCATCTTGTGGGGCTAACAAGTCATTACATCTGACAGAGAAGTCTGTCTCAACTTCTCTCTTTGTTACAGGATGTTCCTTTAAGGTTCAGTGAGAATTCTCATTACTCCCAATTATTAAAAATGTGGGCACGTACCACAGCTGAGAAAATCTCATTAATTTTTGTGAGCTCCCCCTATGCTGTTTCCCCTTTTTCTCCTTATTTTTACATTTTTTTAAAAAGCTGGAAACCACAGTGAGCTTCTATCTGGAGTCTTTGAGAAAGATCTTGCTGCTCGGTTTGGAGGCTGTGTTCTTTTAGGGAGAAGATTCAGTTCAGCTCTGCAGACATTTATTGAATATCTTGTATACTATATAATTGGGTATGGTTGTTTGTGGCCCAGAAAGAACCTGGCTGGGCTATGGGGATGAAAGAGCAGCCGAAGATGTCCAAAGGGAGAGAAGAATATGCTTTCACTTGCCAACATAGACTAAGTACAGGGATGATACGGTTTGGCTGTGTCTCCACTCAAATCTCATCTTAAATTGTAGTTCCCATGATCCCATGTGTTGTGGGAGGGACCGAGTAGGAGGTAACTGAATCATGGGGGTGGTTTCCCCCATGCTGTTCTCATGAGAGTGAGTAAGTTCTCGTGAGAGTGAGTAAGTTCTCACGAGAACTGATGGTTTTATAAGCATCTGTCATTTTTCCTGCTGGCTCTCTTTCTCTCTCCTGCAACCCTGTGAAGAGGTGTCTTCCACCATGATTGTAAGTTTCCTGAGGCCTCCCCAGCCAGGCAGAACTGTGAGTCAATTAAACCTCTTTCCTTTATAAATTACCCAGTCTCAGATATTTTTTCATAGCAGCATGAGAATGGACTAATATAAGGGACAAAGCAGTGAACAAAACATACAGAAACCCCTGCTTCCCAGAGCTGGCATTCTAGCTGGGTGAAGACAGAGTAAATAAAGATGTCACATATGTAGTATGTTAGATGGTGGTGAGTGCTGTGGAGAAATATAAAGTGAGAGAGAGAGAGACACACACCTGGGATAGGAGTGGGGAGTTGCAATTTCTCCAAGATGGTCAGAGAAAACCTCACTGAGAGATGACATCTGAGCAAAGACCTGGCGGAGAAGTGGAAGCAAGCCATGAGGGTACTGTTGGGGGATGAGGGGAATTTTTTTCAGTCAGAGGAAGTGGCAAGTGCAAAGGCCCTGAGGCAGAAGCACACATGCCATGTTTGAAGAGGAAGGAGGCCCCTATGGCTGGAACAGGGTGTGCAAGGGGGCAGTAGTTGGAGATGATGCCAGAGGAGCAACAGGAAGCAGATCATTAGGGCAGTGGTTCTCAACCTTGGCTGCACATTCTACACATCAGGGGAGCCTTAAAAAACAATCCTGATGCCAAGGCCACACTCCAGATCAACTAAATAAGCATTTCTGCGGTGGCACTCAGCTTCAGTATTGTTGGAGCTCCTGGGTGATTCCAACGTGCAGTCAAGGTGAATCCCAGGAGAAAGCCTGCATAGGTTTTTGCAAGGAGCGTGGCATTTACTCTAAGACAGAGATCCATGGGAAGGGCTTGAGCAGACCAGCAGTATGCTCTGATTGTCACTTGCAAAGGTGCCCCTGACTGCTGTGCTGAGAACAGACTGAGGGGGCAAGGCTGGGAGCATGGAGACCAGTTAGTGGCTCAGACCATGATGGCAGCAGTGGAGGTGCTGAAACGGGGTTGGATTCTGGAAATATCCTGAAGGTGACCTCAGTTAAGTGCCACAGGGCTTCAATCCACAGAGGAGCTGCAGAGACCACTCCTGGGGCTGGAGAGGAGCTGGTCTGATGGGGGCAGCACATAGGGGCTCTGGAGAAGGGGCCATCAGGAATAGAGCAGTCTGGTTCCTGCAGGGGATGTGGCTATGACCTTGGCCAGAACAAGAGCCATGGACTTTTCAATCTATCACAAAACATAGGCCCAGCTCAATACATATTTGTTCAGAATTGAAGGAAAAATGAAAAGGAAGCCACGGAAAGAATGGCTCTTACAGATTGTAACCTGGTTATAACAATAACTGGTATTCACACAGGCCTGGATGTGCCAATAATGCCCTTTCCATTTGGACTGTACACTGCAGTGAAGGTATGCCAGGCAATGGTGGATTCTCCCCGTTTCAGCTGAGGAAGCTGAAGAGCGTGAAGAGTGTTGTCTGAGGTCACACAGTCAGATAAGTAGCCGAACTGAGCCTCGAACCCATGTCTCAGATGCCAAATCATGGCTCTGCCATTGGCCCACCACTGTTTATTTTGACTGTGCACGATGCTGCACAATGAGAGCCCATGTGGGAGCCCTTCACCTTTGACTGAGAGAAGTGACCCACTCACTCTCACCTGTGGGAGGGATTTGCCTGAGAAAGGGAGGAACTCTGAAGGACTTAAGTGGGCAGAATTCTGCAGTTTTCTCCTGAGCTGCTGGAGAGAAGCAATCGTCCTAATAGAAAGACCTTCCCTCTGACCAGAACCTGACAATCTGTGGTGCTTCCACACCTCCCCTGTGGCACAAGGCAACTTCTGTCAGCCCCTTTCTCTAGACAGAGGCTTCTCACTCCTCAGGGAGGCCTCTGTGAAAGTGGCTTTAACAGCAGAGGGTTCTCTTTGCACATGTACTTGGAAGGCTCTGTCTAGCTCTACTTCAGCTCATGTGCCAGACGCACACCCAAGATTGGAGAGCTGTTGGTGGACCACACAAAATAAGTATGGGCTTAGGTGAAATAGTGCCTCCCTTTGTCTGTTAGTTCCCATAAAACATCCCTGCCTTATAGCAAGACCATTGCTTGGCTCATTCTGCTTAATTCATTTTGGAAATTGCTTTTCAATAATTTTACTCTCATCCTATTTCAAACAACACTGGCAAACATCGGTCTGGGAAAGCCATGTTTTCAGGCATGTTGGTCACTTAATTTATAAGAACTCCTTGAGCCTTCATGGTAACCTTCTGAGGTAGGTCCTATGACTAGCCTCCATCTTACAGAACAGGAAACTGAGGCACGGGGAGATTACATCTCCTGCTCAAGGTCACTAGTGGCAGAGCTGGGGCAGGCAGTCTGGCAACAGAATTTGTGCCTGTAACCACTGTCCCACACTGCCTTGAGGTGTCCATTCATGTCACTCTAATGGGAGTGGCGGGCCTGCTTTAACAATATAGCACTGTGCATTTGCTGATCAGTTTGGAGGGAGGAAGGTCTGCCTCTACATGCTGGAAAAACTGTTTTAGTGAACATGAAACCCTGTGCCGAGGCTCAGAGTGATGCCTGGGCTCTGGCTGATGTTGAGATTTGGACTGAGGTGTGAGGGTCAGCACATGGAAAGGAAGCGCACAGTCACAGTAGCCTCTGGAAGATTCACGCTGTGTGGCTCTTGACATAGCCTGAGCTCCTGTGCCTCTTGTAAATTCCGGTTTGCTCTTCGGGACGTCTGTCCCTGCTGCTTGTATTCTGCACTTTGCTCTTGGTGTTCTTGGCTCTACTCTTCCAAATTCTAACCCTGATGTTATTCTTGGCTTCATTCCTAGATCCACAAGTGAGTGTTCAGAATCCTGGCCCCCCTCCTTTCTGTCACCTCTAGCTGGTCGCTTACTTTGTCTCCTTTTTTTTTTCTTGGTGCTGAAAGATGTAATCTGACCCAGCTTGTCATGTGGCTGAGATAGGACTGCACTGTGCTCAGTGCCTTGTACATAAGACAGGACACAACTAGAAGGGAACACATCTGTCCAGCTGGGTGCTAGGCCTCATTTATGTTTTCATCCGGCCAACATTTACTGAGCATTCATTGTATGCCGGGCACCCAGCAAAGTGTCGGACAGGTGTCTCCCAGAGTCTATACTGAGATGGGAACCCAGACAGAGGTGGTGGGAGGGCAAGGTAGTCACAAAGTCTACTGACCATTTTCCAGGCTCAATGGCCGGGAGGACTTGTCCTCACAGGCTTTTAGTAAGGAAGGGGCCTGGATGTGATGGTCACAGAAGCCCTGTCCCTCTGGTGCCTCTGTGGCAGGGAGGCAGGCCTGGACAGTGGCTTCTGCAAGGCACCTCCCTGCACCGACTCCCTGGGGAGAGTTGTTTTAACAGTCCACGCTCTAGAGATAGATCTGGCATCTGTGAACTTTGCAGGTTCTGGCTTCATGGGTAGGCAGAATAATGGCCTCCCAAAGATGCCCACATCCTAATCCCCCACACCTGTGAATATGTAATAGGCATAGGAAGTGCACCAGTTTTTCCAACCTCATTTGCACAAAGAGGAGACAGACTTCCTCAAGGATCCAGGCCCCTTGGCTCCTGGGGAAATCAAAACGCCTTTCATCCCCCTTGCAGTGTTGTAGTAGCAGCAGAGCAGGCCCCTCAGCCATGCAGGAGGGAAGACCCGGGGAGGCAGGACACTGCAGACTCCTCTGGTGAAGCCTCCTGGACCTCACCCATGGGGGACCTTGGCCAGGGTTGGGCAGGGGTTTGCTTGCTTCCTTCCTGGGCTGGGAAGATGCCCAGTCTCAGGGTTGAAAGTCAGAAAGCTTCATCCCAGCTCCATCCCTCACGGCCCAGCTGCAGGCTCCAGACAACCCGTCACTCTCTCTGTGTGTTTCCTCCTGCGTCTCGGTGTCCACCCTCTTC